GAGAAGCTGAACCTGCGTGTGGGTCGCAAGCCTTCGCTCAACCTGAGCTGTGCGGACGTTGTCTGGCACCAGATGGATGAGAACCTGCTGGCCACAGCAGCCACCAATGGTGTGGTAGTCACATGGAACCTGGGCCGTCCATCCCGCAACAAGCAGGACCAGCTGTTCACAGAGCATAAGCGCACGGTGAATAAAGTCTGCTTCCACCCCTCTGAGGCCCATGTACTGCTCAGTGGCTCCCAGGACGGCTTCATGAAGTGCTTCGACCTCCGCAGGAAGGACTCTGTTAGCACCTTCTCAGGTGAGGCCCTCGGAGGCGGGTTGGGCAGGTGTGCATCTTTGCAGGTGGCTGGACTATCGAGGCAGGTTAAGACGTGCTGCATGGAGCCCTGGCCTGGTGGCTCAGTTGGTTGGAGCGTCGTCCGGTACACCAAAAAGTTTTGGTTCGATTCTGGTCAGGGCACAGACCTAGGTTGTGGGTTTGATTCCCCCATAGGGGCACATACAGGAGACACTGATCGTGTATGTCTCTCTTTCTATAGTCAATAAAAATATCCTCAGGTGAGGATTTAAAAAAAAAAAAGCCTTCCTGGGGGAGGGAACAGCTTAGCTGGGACTGAAAGAGTAGGTGGGGTCAGCAGGGGAGGGACAAGACAGGCCTAGTTGAAGTGTGAGGAGTAGCTGGAGTGTGGCTGCAGCTCTGATGCATCTGAAAGGACAGCTGGGTATTGGATGGAAGGGCAGAACCTGAGCAGACCTACAGCCAACCTCAGTGGTTGAGCAGATGGTTGTTTCACTGCTTCCTCTTCCCTTGCCTCAGAGCCCCAGGCTGCCTCATTTCAGGAAATCCAATGGGACTTTCAGGGTCCTCAGCCCAGGGATGCAGAGGTGGGGTGCACTGCCTGGTCCCACTATGGCTCTTTTCCTAGCAGGCCCAGCTCCCTGACAGTGGTCTTGAGACAGTTCTCCCTTGTCCATCTCAATGAAACCAAGTGAAGCACAGGGCAGAGTCCTTGGAGAATTGAGGGTGGGGTTCCCTTAAGGCAGACCCTGAGCTACCTGTGCTGGGGTAAAGCTGCACACTGCACTCAAAGGCTCTCGGTGTGGCAGTTTATGGTGGTGGACACGGACCCTCAAAACCACCAGTCCTCTGGATTTGACCCAGAACTTCAGCTCAAGGTGGAGGGACTGGGCAGAGGCTGAGGCACCCTCATCCATGCCTCCTTGGGCCTCCTTCTGGGGCCTCAGAACTCGTTGGGGGGCATGGACACGTGGTCCAGTGAGACTCCTGTTCACCCAATGTTCTGCCACCCAGTCCTGAAGCTAGGCCACAGCTTTGTACAAGGACTGACATCAGAGAAGAGAATCCAGGGAAAAGCAAGGCCCAGGAGTTTATATCAGAAACCACCTGATGCCACCCTGGCCGATGTGGATCAGTGGTTAGAGCATCGGCCTGTGCACTGAAGGGTCTTGGGTTCGATTCCTGGTCAAGGGCACACACCTGCATTGCAGGTTCCATCCCCAGCCCCAGTTGGGATATGTTCTGAAATCAATGGAGAAATGTCCCCTGGTGAGGATCAACAAAACAAAAGAAACCACCTGACCACCTGATGCCTGGTGTCCTGCTCTCCAGCCCAGGCTGTTGTGTCTGTGCAGCCTCTCCTCTTCTTGTCTATTCTAGGCAGGACTGGAAGGGTCCACAGCCACTCCCAGGACTCCCCTCTTGGCCACTCTCTCTTCTGGAACCCCCTGTGGGCTTCACCCCCTCACCTTCTCCCTCCATTGACATCCTACCCATAGGCCAGTCTGAGAGTGTGCGGGACGTCCAGTTCAGCATCCGGGACTACTTCACTTTCGCCTCCACCTTTGAGAATGGCAATGTGCAGCTCTGGGACATTCGGCGGCCTGACCGTTGTGAGAGGATGTTCACAGCCCACAATGGGCCTGTCTTCTGCTGTGACTGGCACCCTGAGGACAGGTATAGGGCGGGCTGGGGCAAGGGCATGGGTAGGATGGGATGGGTGGCACTCATGGAAGGACTCTCTCTCACTGCCTCGAGTCCTGTGAGTCAGAGAGTGGGGAACCCTCCCACCCCAAGAGAAGAAACTGAGGGCTTCATGCGCCTTCCATAGGGGCTGGCTGGCCACAGGTGGGCGTGACAAGATGGTGAAGGTCTGGGACATGACCACCCAACGCGCCAAGGAGGTGCACTGCGTGCAAACCATTGCCTCGGTGGCCAGAGTTAAGTGGCGACCCGAGTGCCGCCACCACCTGGCTACATGCTCCATGATGGTGGACCACAACATCTACGTGTGGGATGTGCGCAGGCCCTTTGTACCAGCAGCCATGTTTGAGGAGCACCGAGATGTCACAACAGGCATCGCCTGGCGCCATCCGCATGACCCCTCCTTCCTGCTCTCTGGCTCCAAGGACAGCACACTGTGCCAGCACCTGTTCCGTGATGCTAGCCAACCTGTAGAGCGTGCCAATCCTGAGGGCCTCTGCTATGGTCTCTTTGGGGACCTGGCCTTTGCCGCTAAGGAGAGCCTAGTGGCCGCTGAGTCAGGGCGCAAGCCCTATGCTGGTGATCGGCGCCAGCCCATTTTCTTCAAGCGCAAGCTGGACCCTGCTGAGCCCTTTGCAGGTCTCGCCTCCAGTGCCCTCAGCGTCTTTGAGATGGAACCTGGCAGTGGCAGCATGAGCTGGTTTGTGGACACTGCTGAGCGTTATGCCCTTGCTGGCCGGCCACTGGCTGAGCTCTGTGACCACAATTCAAAAGTGGCTCGGGAGCTTGGCCGAAACCAGGTAGGTGGGGCTGAGGGGGACTGAGGGACCATGACCTTGGGGCAAGGTCAGGGGACTCCTTTAACTGCTGCACCCAGCCCCTGCCCTGAGTTCAATTCACCAATCCTTACCTGCCCCAGTAACTGAGGGTGCTCAGGGCCCCAGAGCAGAGCAAATACTAGTGCCATCCTGGGGGTATAATTTGGGGGCATCATGGGGCTTAAACCCCCAGTCTGGCTCATTCTTGCTTCAGACTTCCTAAGGTGCCTGGCCTTGTAGAAGTCCACACTGCCTCTCTCATCATCTCCCTGGGGGATGAGGCTTATTTCCTCATCAGCCACCTCCCACATCTGCTTCTGTGCCCTGCAGGATGGGGGCTGGGATTTTTGTCTTTCCCATGGGCCTCAGTGTCCCTACCTGAGGTGGGCCAGGACACTGGGTCCCTGGGCAGCTGAACGCAGAGAGTTTATAGTTCCATCCAGGCAAAGGGAGGGCCTGCATGGGGCACCAGGGACCCAGGACCCCATGAGTGACCAGTGCCCACTCCTAGGTGGCACAGACATGGACCATGCTACGGATCATCTACTGTAGCCCTGGCCTGGTGCCCACTACCAATCTCAATCACAGTGTGGGCAAGGGCAGTTCCTGTGGCCTGCCACTCATGAACAGGTAGATCCCTGGCGGCGGCTCTCTCAGAGGGTGGGACTGCTGGAGCCTACCCACCTATCAGCCCTCCCTGCCCCCAGTTTCAACCTGAAGGATATGGCCCAAGGACTGGGCAGTGAGACCCGGCTGGACCGCAGCAAAGGTGACACACGGAGCGACACGGTGCTGCTTGACTCCTCAGCTACACTCATCACCAACGAGGGTAGGCTAGAGGGCGACACAGGGTATTGATGGGAGTGGGGCTGGGCATCCCAAAGCAAGCCAGCTGTGTAAATCCCTCCCTCCCTCCCTCATGAGCAGATAACGAGGAGACCGAGGGTAGTGATGTGCCTGCTGACTACCTGCTGGGCGATGCAGAGGGCGAGGACGATGAGTTATACCTGCTGGATCCAGATCACGCCCACAGTGAGTGGGGGCTGGGAGGGGCACAGCTGGGAGTCAGGGCCAGAGGCTCAGACCTTGCCTTCCTGGCCCCTGCCCCACAGCTGAGGAGCCTGAGTACGTGCTGCCCCAGGAGGCCTTCCCACTGCGCCATGAGATTGTGGACACGCCACCGGGGCCTGAGAACCTACAGGACAAGGCAGACTCACCCCATGTGAGCGGCAGCGAGGCAGATGTGGCCTCCCTGGCGCCCATGGACTCCTCCTTCTCGCTGGTCTCTGTTTCACACGCACTCTACGACAGCCGCCTGCCACCCGACTTCTTCAGCGCCCTGGTGTGCGACATGCTACGCTTCTATGCTGAGCAGGGCGATGTGCAGATGGCTGTATCCGTACTCATCGTGCTGGGTGAACGTGTGCGGAAGGACATAGATGAACAGACGCAGGTTGGTGAGTGGGCCGGAAGGAGGGCCTCCCTGCACACCTGTCTGGGCTTGTACCCAGCATGCTGGGGTGAAACCCGTGCCCACGACCCTGGTCTCTTGCTTCCCTCTGCCCTCCCCGCACCACCAGGAGCACTGGTACGCATCCTACATCGACCTGCTGCAGCGTTTCTGCCTCTGGAACGTGTCCAACCAGGTGGTCAAGCTCAGCACCAGCCGTGCTATCAGCTGCCTCAACCAGGCCTCCACCACTCTGCACGTCAACTGCAGCCACTGCAAGCGGCCCATGAGCAGCCGCGGCTGGGTCTGCGACCGGTGCCACCGCTGTGCCAGCATGTGTGCCGTCTGCCACCACGTGGTCAAGGGCTTGTTCGTGTGGTGCCAGGGCTGCAGTCACGGGGGCCACCTGCAGCACATCATGAAGTGGCTGGAGGGCAGCTCCCACTGTCCTGCTGGCTGCGGCCACCTGTGCGAGTACTCCTGATCTGGTCCGGGGAGGGAGGAGCCTGGAGCTTGTGAACCAAATAAAGGAAACGGAACCACAGTCTGAGGCTGCCCTGTCCTCTCGTTGAGCAACTCTGTGGGGCGGGAGGGCAGTGCCCCCTGGGAACTGGTAGAAGTCACTAGTAGTTCTGTCTTCCCTCTGCTTTCCGGAGATAACGCCCCTTCTGGGGCGGGCCAAAAGAGGCCGCTTCCGGGAGCCCTCCCAACGCCAGGCTGTTGCCACAACGACGGAGTTCCCAGCGTGCCTCGCGGCGGCGGGCTCATGGCGCGGTGGCGGGGGCACAGTCTCTTGCTGCTAGTGCTCTGGACGCTGACGGCTCCCGCCCGGCCCGGCCCCGGAGAAGAGGGCGATGGAGGGTGGTGAGCGGCGCTGGCCGGTTGGGGAGGGGGCGCACAGCGGGGCGGCCTGGGTCGCTGACGGGCTGTGCCCACAGGCAGCGGCGCGGAGCCGCCCCGGCGGCGGCGGCGGCGGCGGAAGAGGAGCGCTGCACCGTGGAGCGCAGGGCCGACCTCAGCTACGCGGAGTTCGTTCAGCAGTACGTGCGCCTCCCGTGCTGCCACACCTCCCAGGCCCCAAAACCCGCCCAGGAGCGCTGTCACGCCCTTATTTGCCTGCGCGCACCGGGACCCCCCAGGACTGCCTCTCCTTGAGCGAATGTGTGGGGACGGGAACAGGGACGGGACGGGTCGGGCCAGACTTTAACTCTGCTGTTCCTTCTAGCTACGCCTTCTCCAGACCTGTCATTCTGCAGGGACTCACAGACAACTCAGTGAGTACTGGTTCCTCTCCTGGCCACCTCTCCCCCGTGTGGGGCGGGCCCTTAAATACTCTCTCCACCCCCAACCCCCAGAGGTTCCGGGCTCTGTGCTCCCGCAAAAGGCTGCTGGCATCATTTGGGGACAACGTGATTCGGCTGAGCACTGCCAACACCTACTCCTACCAGAAAGGTGAGCTGCCCCACCTCGAAGCCCAGCCTGCCTGATGGCATCCTGGAGGCACCAACCAGTTCTGACCGGCCTCCCCCCGCCCCCCGCCCCTCCCGCAGTGGACCTGCTCTTCCAGGAGTATGTGGAGCAGCTGCACCCCCAGGACCCCACCTCCCTAGGCAATAGTGAGCACTTGGGCTGGAGGCAGTGGGTTGGGGAGGTGGCACTTGGAAGTGCCCAGGTGCCAGGATCCCTGCTTCCTCCTGTGTTCTTTGCTGACAGACACTCTGTACTTCTTTGGGGACAACAACTTCACTGAATGGGCATCACTTTTTCGGCATTACGTCCCACCCCCATTTGGTCTGCTGGGTACCACTCCTGCTTACAGCTTTGGGATCGCAGGTGGGTGCCTTACAAGACCAGGGGATTTGGGGGATGGGGAGTGCAAATTGGGTTTGGTCACTAGCTGCTCATAACTAACCCCACAGGAACTGGCTCTGGGGTGCCCTTCCACTGGCACGGGCCTGGGTTCTCAGAAGTGATCTACGGACGAAAGGTCAGCATAGGGTTATGACTGAGACTTCTGGCTCACTGACCACAATACAAAGACTGACCTTGCTGCTCCCACCTCCAGCGCTGGTTCCTATATCCTCCTGAGAAGACACCGGAGTTCCACCCCAATAAGACCACTCTGGCCTGGCTCCAGGACACCTACCCAGCCCTGGCACCATCTGCACGGCCCTTGGAGTGCACCATCCAGGCTGGTGAGGTCAGTGGCTGGTAGGAGAGGGTCAGGCTGGGCTGGACTGAGGCCCCCCAACCCCCACCCCCGCTAATCTGTGCCCTACCCAATCCAGGTTCTGTATTTCCCTGACCGATGGTGGCATGCCACACTCAACCTTGACACCAGTGTTTTCATCTCTACCTTCCTCAGCTAGCCAGAGCGGGCAGCTGACGAGCCCAGTCTCACACCAGCACACATCCCTATACTGCTCACAGGTTTTATTACAAGGATAGTAGTGGCAGCAGCCTCAGCCAAAACCACCATAGCCTGCTGTTTCAGGCTAAGAAGGGAAATGGGGGAGAGGGAGTGGGAGGGCTCATGGCCTACCAGCAGAACTGATAGAAGATGGGATGGGGACACCAGAGTAGGGGTCCAGGGACACAAACTATATACAGGAGCGGAGGGGGGGTACTGCCCCAAGGCCCTCCGGGGCCAGGGTGCCAGGCGAGGTGGGAGGGGTTGCCCTCCCACTTGCTGTGCCTCAGTAGTCCTCCACCCAGCCATTCTCAGAGATGAATGCATCGATGACCTCTTTCATGGCCAGGTTGGGGATGAGCTGTTCCTGGGTCAGAGGGCTCCGGGTCACAGGGTCAAAGTGGCCCACACGCTGCAGTGACAACAGAGTCAGAAAGTGTTTGGTGGGCTGGGGCCCTGCCCCCAGCACCCATAGGCCCTCACCTGCAGGTGCTCCTCAATGTCCTTACGGTCATAGGTGATGCCACTGGGTGTGATGCACGGCTCCCGCATCAGCTCAAAGCTGATTTTGCCACACAGATAGTCAGGGATGTCTCGCTTCTGCATCACAAAGGTCAGGGATCAGGAAGGGGACGCTACTACAGATCCTGCTACCTACAGGCCCTAGAGAACAGCCAACTCACCTTTCTCTTCTCATCCACCTGGGAGAAGAGGTCATCCATGTCTGCTAAGTACTTGTCCTGCAAATAACCAAGCAGCCATGCATGGGCCAGACTTCCCGTCTCCCTTCCCCAGACACAGACACACACAGGAGCCAGGGGCACCCTCACAGAATGTGCACACAAACACAAGACCCACACGTGGGCCGGGGCACCCTCACGTGCTTGGCCTCGATGCAGGCCTGCTGGGCCCGGACGTGGCCATCATCCTCATCACCCTCATGGTTCCGCTGACACTCTTCCAGCTCCCTGGGGGTTGACCAGGAGCTGGTCAGAGACAGATCTGGCCAGGAAAGGTCAGACTCCACCCCAACCTCAGGCTTGTTCAGGCCTGCTCCCCCTCTGTCTTCTGTTCACCAGGGTTAGCCTTCAATAAACACTTGTGTTCATGACTTAAAGTGGTGACTTGTTGGGGGCAGGGGAGGGGGGTTCCCAGAGTCTGTCATCACAGCCCACCTCTCACGCTCGGCCACAATGAGTCTTGTGAGGTAGGAGTGCAGCTCATTCTCCTGGTGGATGCGCCGCTCCTCAATGCTATTCCAGCGCTTCTTCTTGGCGATGCGCAGAGCACTGGGGATGTCGTCCCCAAAGTTGAGTCGCTGCTCCTTAGCCAGGTTGTAGGCTGGGGGGACAGAGGCTTCAGGTCACCCTTTGGCCAGTCCACCCACCTGGTCCCAAGCACCCCCATAACCAGCCAGCCTGCAGACCCACCTCGCTGCAAGTTGGCAATCGCCTCATCATAGCTCTCCATCTCCAACTGGCATTGCCCCAGGAAAAAGTGTGCCTTCACGGACTGCCCATCCAGCTCCAAGGCGCGCCGGCAGTCAGCCAGGGCCTGCTCGTGCTGCTGCATCTTCAGGTAGCACAGTGCCCGGTTGGTGTAATACACTGCCACCAGGGGATTCCGGGTCTGGGGGACCAAGGCAGGCCAGTCAGCGTGAGGGAGTGAACTCAGCCTACCCCCTCTGTCCCAGGCCTTGTCCTGCCTTGGGGTCCATGGTTGAAATCAAGACACTAGAGGTTTTACAGCTTCAAAGCCTTTGAGGCCTGAGGACGGGTGGAGGATGGTGTCCTGGCCCTGAGGCCTGCGGGAGCCCTCTCAACTCCAGTAGGTTTTGTCAAGCTAAGAGTACCGGAACTGTGGAGGTCCCCAGCTTTGGACGGGGTCCCTGGCCCTGCCGGCCTCAAGCGCCCTGAAGCTCCCACCCGACATAGGTCTCCGGCAGCCAGCACTGGGTTCAGCCTTGGCACCTTTGCAACGAGATCATCGAGTCCTCAGAGCCTACGTGCTCCTTCCCCGTCAGAACCACGGCCCTCCTAAGGTCCGAAAAGGGCGGCCGGGCAGCCCGGCCCCACCCCCTCCTCTGGCCCGGACGCCGGTCCCCTCCCCCGGCGCCGGTGCACTCACGATGGCGCGGCCGTAGCAGGCCGCCGCCTCCGGGTACTTGCGGCCCACGAAGAGCCGGTTGCCCTGCTCCTTGAGCTCCTGCGCGCTCGGGCTCTTCTCCGGGCTTCCGCCAGCTGCGCCCAGCCGCGCGCCGCCCTCCTTCTCCTCCTTGCCCTTCATGGCGCCGCGCGGCACGGCCTGGGATCCGCTCCCAGACTCGGCGCCCGGGTCGCCCAAGCCCGCAGCCCGAGCCCGCGATCCGCTCGGGCCCGGTCCAGCGATTCGCCACCGGAACTTCCGGCCGCGTGGGGCGGAGTGAACGGGACGGATCCGTGCCAGCGGGGTGGGCGGGGCCGCGCGTGCGCACGTCGCTCTGCGGGGGCGGGGCTGATGGGCTCGAGGGTGGGGGCAACGTGAGCCGCGACGTCGGAAGTCTGGAGGAGCGCCTCGGTTTGCACCAGGCAGCTCCGCCCCTCGCGTTCGGGGTGGTCCTTCCAGAAGTCGGCCCCGCCCACGCCCCACGGCCGCCCACGCCCATCGAGGCCCAGCCTGGCGCGGGGACTTGGCGGCCGTCCGCGGGCTGTGGGACAGAGAGGACCCGGGCTGCTGAGCAGCCATCCTGGCGCACCACGGAGAGGTGCCGCGGCCTCGCGCGGGGGACTGGAAGTCCTGGACAGTGGGGCCTCGATGCCCAGACGCCCGTCACCGCCCTTCCCCAGGCATCCAGAGGATTTGCCCGCGGCCATCGAGGGCGGAGCGGAGCACGTGACGAGCTGGCGCTGCTGCTAGCGTGGAAGCTGGCGGTGAGGGGCTTCCACGTGGGTGGCGGAACCTCGGCGGGCGGCCCGCCTCCTGGTGTTGGGGCTTCCTTTTGGCGGCTGCCCCTGCGCCGTGGGGCGGGGCTTCCTCCTGGGAGTGAGTCTTCTCGTGGTGGGGCAGGCCCCCCTGTCGAGATCCACCACCAGTCACCATTGCACCTACCCCAACTCTGCTGCACAGGGCCGCTGCCACCTGCGCCTGCAGCAGCCGGTGACCCCCAGAGCTGGTAGCAAAGCGCTGGGCCGCTGTCTCCCTCCACGGCCTCAAGGTTAGTGGCGAGAGCTGGTTATATGGGCGGGTCACAGGAGGGACCAGTTAGTGACTTTGTGAGATGAACCGATGGTCACATCCATGACATGGAGGGTCATTGATAATGGCCGCCCCCACCGACGTTGTTCTGACACTGGCGGGTCTGAATGCTGGCCTTTCACTCCCCCTGGCAGTCTTAGCTGTTGCAGCTCCTGAGGGGGCAGCCTTCATGTCCAATGAGGCAGTGGACCCCGTACCTGGCCTGCCAGCCCTGCAGTATACTCAAGATACTACCAGCTGCACCTGGGCCAGGTGTGGAAGCATGCCACAGCCCTGAGCCCAGGTGAGGGGACTGTTGGTAGGCTAGGAGAACATTCAGGACTCTGGTCAGGATGCAGTGTACAGAGCTGTTCCGCAGGACAGGGTGCCCTGGGCCCCAGACTCCCTGTGCACCTCCCAGCTAGTGCCTTAGGGTTGTGGAACTAGCGCTATGGACCTGGGCTGTGGGGTAGAAGCTGCTCCCAACCTGCTCCCTGACCTCAGCCCTAGCCTAGCCACCCCTGAGGATACCAGGCCAACCAGGAAGTATAGGACCCAGTCCAACTGAACTTGACTATGGCCTGCTCACCTGCCAGGTGACTGTAGGCGCTCAGTAAATGCTTGCTGAACTCACTCCAGACCATGAGGTCCACAGCCCCGCTCCAGGGGCTCCCACTTCCCACATAGACATACCTCATACACCTGCAGAGGAGCAAGGGGGAATCCAGGCTGCCCACATGGAGGGAAGAGCCCTCATAGTCGGCTCAGTGAGTGGGGGGGAGGCCAGACCAGCCCCCAGAGCCCCATTACAGCTACCTGGTGTTGTGTAAAATATTTATTTATTCTCCAAAAAGGCTCAGACTGCAAGTCATGGAGGGAGACCAGGACAGGGTCTCCTCTGGGACCACCCTTGGGACCTCCACCACCCAGCCTGGCCCAGCAGTCCTAACACCCCCAGGCCTCGGAGCGGGGCCAGGGCTGGTGTAAGGCTTGGCTTGGACTCAGTAGGCCACAGGGGCCACCTGCCCTCACGGGAGAAGCAGTCTTAAGACATACTTTCACAGAAGGTGGACATGCAGGCCACGCCCTGGCCCATGTGGCCCCCAGGAGCTCCTCAGGGTGGTGGAGGAATATGGGCACCCAGCAGGTCATAGGCGAAGATGTTCCAGAAGATGGCAAAGAGCAGGAAGGTGCCGTAGGCAAGCAGCACCACCCACCAGCCGCACTGGTCCCGAAGGCGTTCCTCATAACTGCGCAGGATGGTCAGGCCCATGCTGACCCCCACCACCGCACCAGCCAAGTGCGCCATGAAGCTGGGCTGTGGGCCCGAGGCGGGCAGTGGCGGGGAGAAGCGCAGCCACACAGCCCGGCCCACCTCGGAGCTCACTGCAGAGGGAGTTGACACATGGGAGGCACCCCTGGCCCTGGGCTCAGTTCCCCGCCCGCCTCCGGCACCTTTCATCCCTACTTACTGCACACCAGGGCCAGCACCATTCTCAGCAGCTTGTAGGGACACCTCATCCCAGCCCAGTTCTGATGGGACATGAGACAGGCAGTGAGGCAAGCCTTGTGGGCCCCCCCCAAGCCCACCCAGGTTGTTTGATTACCATGACGACATTGGCCAGGTGTGCAGAGCACAGGGCGTAGACTCCGCCAGAGCCCCCCACCACAGGGGCCCGCATGTCAGTAATGGAGACAGTCAGGGAGCCTGTGTGAAGCAAGGGGAGGGCTGTGAGGATGAGGCGTTGCAGTGAGGTGGCCAGGGGCTACGCGCCTGCCTCACCTGCCAGCACGCCAGCCAGGTAGAGCAGGCTGATGCGGAGCAGGCCGTGCACCATTTCCAGGGGCACCCCAATCATCAGCTGTAGGAGTGCGTTGAACCCCAGCTGCTCCAGCCTGGTCACGTAGAGGCAGATGGGTATGAGGGGTGTGATCGGTCATCAGGCTCCCAGCCCCAGCCACTCTGAACTCAGGGGTGCCAGAAGCGGGCCGGCACTCACCCAACGTGCATGAACATGTAGGTGAGGAAGCGCCAGGCCCGCGCCCGGTGCCCGGGGTGGTATACAAGAGGGCTCTTCATGTACTCAGGGTGGTAGGTCTGCAGCACCCACTTGTTGAGGCGGGCCCCATAGCACAGGAACACGATGATCTAGGAGAGAAGGGCATTAGGACTGGGCCGGGCCAGGGATGTGGGTGGCAGACGGGGGGTAGGCTCACCTGGGCCAGAGTGACCGAGGCCATAAACACAGGGGGTGGGCAGCTTCGGTGCCGGTAGAAGTACCAGTGGCGGTCCACCTCTCGGGGCAAGATCTCGTAGGCCACGTAGCGCACAAACCGCTTATAGACACCCAGGCCCGGCTCGTCTAGCAGCCCCTCCCGGGGCAGTGCCCGCTGTCCATTGGCGATGGCCCGCTTAAAGCTGCTTGAGCGCTTGCTGCTGATCTGGGGGAGGGGGCCTAAGCATGGGACATCACACTACCCCCACGACCTCCGTGCCCACCTGGCCTGCCCAGCTCCTCACAGGGTTTGCAGCCCTGCTCCAGTGGGGAGGTAAGGAAAGAGGGGCTACCTGCCCACCCAACTCCAGCAGGCACTCTGCGGGCCACGGCCTGGGCCCCCACCCCTGCTGCCCACCCACTTGAGCACTGACCAGGTCCACCAGCTCCTGGTAGCAGACCTGGCCCCGCTCATTGCTCTGGGCCAGGGCCACCAGCATGTCCAGCTTGGCTGGATCCAGGGGTAGCTCATGGCTGTGCACCAAGCCAGTGAAGGTGTCTGCACCGATGAAGCCCGTGTTCTCAGGGTCCAGCTGCTGGGGTGGGGGGTGGAGGAGGTGATGCTGGCCAAGGCCTGAGGGTGGACCAGACCCACAGACCCAAGGGCTGCCCCAAGCCAGCTGGAAAAGGCAGTCTCCCAACACCCTTGGGCTAGATCCCTGTGCCCACGTGGTCTCAGGAGCTGCCAGGGAACCGGTTCCTGAGTCCTAAGCCTCTAGGGGTCTCCTCACCTCATTTTGGCTCTGTCCATCCTGGAAGGGTAGGGCTAAAGTCTGAGGACAGTCGCCCCTCCCCCTTGCCCCTACTCAGGCGCCCTGGTCTGGCTCACCCTTTCCTGGGGTCTCAGGCAGTGGGCCAAGGTCGTGCATGAGAGGGTGTGGGGAATGGGCATGAGCGGGGGCTGGGCTGAGGCTCTGCGAGTTCCATTTCCCCAGCCCACCCCAACGGCAGGGGCGGTGCCGGCGCCCCTCTACCCCAACGCACCTGCTCCTGGATAAGCTGCAGCAGCGAGCTCCTGTCCATAGAGCCGGGCCGGGTCCGGGGTCGACGGCCGCGGCCGGGAGGGGCTGCTCTGCGGATGACTCCGCTCCGCCCCGGCCCGTGCGCTCCGCCCGCTCTGCCTGGCGCCGCGTCACCGAGCTGCCCGCCCCCGCCGCACGCGTGGCCGGAACACGCGCGTGCCCTGCACGCGGACGCGCTCCAGGATGGTGATGGCCCGACCAGCGCCCCAGCCTCCTCACCCGCTCACCACATGCAGGCTTCCCCAGCCTCGCCCCCACACCCTGGCAGAGCTCTCTACTACGAAGAGGGGACAGCAGTGGGAAACAGCTGCAGGCGGCAGCCAAGCCCCTGGCACATCCCTTCTCCCGAGACGGAGCCTCAGCGCCCACACCACCTCCTTGGGGAAGCCTCCCCGGACCACCCCGCTACCTGTGACTCCCCAGGCCGGGGCTCCCTGATAGCGGCTGCCTGCCAGAGTGCTGGTCCATCTGCAGTCGGGCAGCAAAAGGCCCCGCAGATGGGTGCCAAGGCTGACGGGGCTATTAGTGACGGGGAGAGGCGCCTGCATGCTCTTTGCAGACCAGCCCCAGCACACGTCTTCCACTGGAGCCCCTGCAGCCACATGCTGGATGGTGACAGTGGAGACTACAGCCCCAGGAGGGCACCGGGGAGCCCAGGCAGAGCCCGCGAGGGACAAGGCTGCAGCTGAGACAGGAAGGGCCCTATTTCCTGGGTAGGCAGGCAGACCCCTCCAACAAGGGGTTACAGACTAGGAATGTGTCACCACAGCAGCCCCTCAGAACAGCACTCAGAACCCCCACGCCATGGAGCCATCAGTCCTAGCAGCTGGGCCTCAGGATAGAGCTCAAGTGAGCACCACACCTCAGCAGCTGGGAGAATAGCAGGACGGTGGCGGTTCGACTTCAAGTCTTACCCTCTCTCCTGGCTGGTGTGGCTCAGTGGTTGAGTGTTGCCCTATGAACCAGGAGGTTCCAGTTTGATTCCCGGTCAGGGCACATGCCCAGGGTTGGGCGCGATCCCCAGTGTGGGGAGTGCAGGAGGTAGCCAACAATGATTCTCTCATCAATCATTAATGTTTCTATCTCACTCACCCTGCTTTCTTTCTGAAATCAATAAAAAAAATATTTTTCTTAGTCTGATCCCAGACCCTTCTGGGTCGGGCCTGAGCAGGGTAGGTAACTCCCCACGCCTCCCAGGAACAGCACTTGGATGCTCTGGGAGAAACCTTGGTGTGGAAGCTCTGTCTTGCATGGAATGACTGATGGCAGGAGGGGCATCTCCCTGGGTAACCAGGGTCTTCCAGTCCCACCATGGGTTGCCTCTGCTCCACGTCCCAGAACACTGGCCAAGTAAGCACCTGGGACAGGTGTTGAAACATAATCCCAAGTAGAGCCTCCCCTTAGGCTGGGGTCTCTTGCTGTCCCCCAGCCAGTGAGTGACAGGTCTCTGGTCAGGGTGTGAGAACAGGCAGCTCCCCCACACCAGCAGCCACCGTGCGCCCCGGTTCCACCTCAGAATCCCAGGTCCTCCCCACAGCTCAGGCAGGCTGCCGGGTGGATGCTGAGGTTGGGGAGGAGGCAGGCCACCTCAGGAAAGCATAGACCTCAATGTGGAGGCTCCCAGGCTGCAGCTGAACCCCAACTGGACCTCATGTGGGCCTGTTTGCAGCCTCAGGCCTGGAGGGCAGGTGTGGGGGGTCAGGATTGAAGTTTCCAGTCCATAGAGACAAAGGACATGATTAAGAAAAGCCACCGTCAGAAAGTAGGGTCTAAGATGGAAAAGACACTGAAGTTTAATCAGCAAACCCAACCTCACATCTTCCATGAGTGCAGCCCTGGACCAGTCTCCCATTGATGGAGCGGGGAGCAGCACAATGACCCAGTCACTTCCTGCCCCCACCCCCTGCCTGTGGCCCAAAGCTCTGCCCTCTGACTCCCCTCAGACCCACTGGATGCCTGGGACCAGGAATGGGTGGAACCCTGAGAATTCAGATCTAGGATCACTGGCTTCCTCACCTATACCCCACAGTCTCTCCAACGTGATGCCCACACAGGTGGGTGATGCTGGGCAGGACACAGGCTGGCAGGACCTCGGGGCCCACCATTGGGGTTGGGCAGTGAGCAGGCTATCCTCAGAAGCCAAGTTTAGATAGAGGGCAGCTCCACCAAGTGGGTAGCCCAACACCAGCACCCTGGGGCCGAGATCAGACTGCAGGGCACCAGGGCCTCATCGGCTCTTCACCAGGACCCTGTAGAGTGAGAAGCTGAGGATGGCAGCAACAGCAGCCCCAAAAGCCCCCAGTGTCACCCGGAGCCAGAAGGAGGTGGTGTGCAGCTCCCCATGGACCAGGTACCTGCAAGAGAGAGGCTGGTTGGAGACACCCTCGGTGCTGTCCAGATGCTTGCTGCTGTGCCCCCCTCACCACCACCCCAATCTCCTGGAAAGTCACAGAGCTGCTACCTGTCAGTGTCTAGCACAGCAGAACTCCCAGACCACAGGGCAGCTGGTGAGACAGGGCCCAGAGGCCCTCTCAGGACATCGGCTCCTGACTAAGGCCCTCCCTGCAGTCCTGACTGATTCCAGCTGACACCACAGCTGTGCCACTCTCCTGGTGACAGGGACCATCAGCACCCTGGGACAGGGACAGGGCAGGCCTCCCACCACAGGGGCTGTGGTGCTGGTACCCACGGGAAGGTGGCCATGGTGGCAAGCCGGGTGAAGACAGCTGTGCCTGGCTCTCCTGGGCCAGCGCAGGAGAACGGGACAGGGGCAGGCAGCCGGTGCCTGCGGCAGAACTCAGCTGGAGACAGCCCAGGCAGTGGAACACCTTCAGGCAGGTCGGCCTTGGAGGAGACGAAGAGGCAGGGGGTCTGCCCATCCATGTAATGGCGCTGCGGGGAAAGGGCCACGTGATGCACAGTCCCGGAGCAGGCCGGGTGAGGGTGCTGGGGGACTACCACTCACAGCCATGCTGCCCACAGGAGTTGGGGTAGGTGGAGGCTTGCCTTGTAGATGCTGGTGCAGAGTGCAAAGGACTGGGGGTCACTGCCATCAAACATCAAGCAGGCGACATCACAGGCAGCATCAGACGCACTGGACAGCAGGCTGTCTGCATTCACCTCGCAGAGCTGGACAGAGGGTGGCCTCAGGGAGCTCAATTCCCCAGGCCACATTGGGACAGCACCGCCCAGCATGCACCTGGGATCTATTGCAGGGATCCCCCTCCCCAACACTCACTATCAGGTACTTCTCCTGCCCGTTGACCTGCACCGTGTTGATGGCATAGATGGCAGGTGTCTTGTGGAGCTCCCTGGTGTCCGGATGCTGAGGAGGGAGGTACCTGAAGTTTGCTGGCCCTGATGCTGCCCAAAGCCCCTCCCCCCTCCCCACCCCCCTGCAAGGCCCTAGATGGGAGCAGGGTCCCCTCACCCAGCACACAGTGATACTCACCCCTAGGCCACGGCCAAGGAAAGCCTGCAGGAAGGCAGACTTGCCCACGCCACGCGCCCCCACCACCTTGCACAGAAGAACATTCCTGTGCGTTTGTCCCTTCTCCTGGTCCAGCCTCTTCTCACGAGTGACTGTGAGAGGATGGAAAGGACAAACAAGAGTAAGTGGCTGCCAGGGAGGAGCTGGCCAGACCCCTGTGAGGGTGGGCGCCCACCTGTGATGGCATGCGTCTGGGAGTCCTGCTTGCAGAGGGTGGGGTAGCCCAGGTAGCCAAGGTGCTCCAGACAGCGCCGGACATCCAGGTAAGTGACCAGACTGGGGCATAAGGGGGCAGGGGGAGCGGTCAGCATCATGACGAGGCAGCACTGTTTGCTAAGTGGGGCAGGTGGGGGCTGCACTTACGTCCACTGGCAGAGGTACCCGTGCAGGGGCAGCCGACCTGCTTCGGTTCGGACTTCTTGCAGGAACTGAGGGCCCCAAGGCGGTGCTGGGGACACACTGAATAGGTCCTGCAGCTCCGCCAGCGAGAGGGCTCCATCATGGTCCTGCAGGCAGAGGGGCTGTGGTGACACTGGCTGGGGGCCAGGACAGGAAACCAAGACAGGCAGCACAGCAGGGTGACAGCGCCCTCACCTGGTCATGCTTCTCAAACACCCGCTGCACAAACTGGTAGCCAAAGTGGTTGAGCTCTGTGCTGCAGCCAGGGGGCACATGAAGCCTGTGGGGTTGCCATCCGTTTCCACCACGCTCAGAGGGTGCAGTCCGACCCTCCCTGCGAGTCTGACTGAACCCCAGAGTTCCTCCAACTCTCTCCCTTGACTGAGCACCGCAGAGAAGCAGGCAGAGATGTGGCTGGGGCCAGGGGCCACCCGCTCGGCATTAAGTCCCAATCTGCCTGCCCACAGCAAGGTGCCTCCTACACAGGCCATGCTCTGCCCGAGCAAGGGCTCCAACCCCACCCTGGCTCCATCTAACACTGAGAGCCATCCACCACTCACAGAGGGAAGAGGTAGTCGGTGGACAGCTCGAGTGTGTCGCCATAGCCGAAGCGCCGCAGGATGGTCCACGTGGTCTCATGGCGGCCACGCTGGATGAAGAGTGTGTTCAGGAAGAGGAAGCCTGTTCAGGAAGCAGAGAAGGTGACACTGGGTATTACCTGAGCCTCTCCCCACACCAGGAGGACAGGCAGGGTGCCAGGGCTCACCGTCCAGGGTCAGCCGGTCATCCCGCACCCCGCCTGCCACGTTCTTGCGCACCACCATCTTGACATCCTCCAGGGCTTGTGGGGCCAGGGGATGCCCAAAACAGGATTTCTGCCTCCAAGAGAAAGTTGCTGTTAGTAAGCCAGCTGTCCCACTGACAGCTGGGCCTGGTCATTAATGGCATGGAGCCCGGCTGCGGCCAAAAAAGGGTGGGCACTACCAGGAGGTGGATGGGGCCCCACCTGGAAAGCATTGAGCTCCTCATCACTGAGCGCCTGGTCCAGATCCTGGTCTGAGAGCCTGAAGATGCGTGTGAGGGCCTGGGTGCACGCGGGCTTCAGCTGTGGGGACAGCCAGCTCAGCATGTTCCCCCAATCCCACCTGGCCACCCCACCCACGCCAGCTGCTCACCTGCTTGGTCTCAGGGTCATAGAGAGGAGCTGTGGGGTGCAGCACGGCCTTCTGTGCATAGTAGAACAGCTCCGAGATGTTCCTCAGGTTCCTGGCCGAGCACTGGGAACCACGGGGACAGACTCAGAGCGGTGCCCGATGCTGGGAGGCTCGAAGATGCAGGCACAGGTGGTCAGCAGCCCCCGTCCCAAGGAAGTCCTCAACAAGAAAGCTTGCCTGTCCTAAGGTCCCAGGCCACCAGCACATGAGTGCTTGCTGCGGGGCCCTGGCCCTTCTCTTCTCCGCCCCCTGCCTGGCCCTACTGTGCGTGCCTGCTTACCTCCACACAGGTCTCAATCTCAGGGAACTGACTCATGATGGGCAGCACGGCCTCCATGGAGCTCCCTGGCCGCAAGTCTGACTTGTTGCCCACCAGGATGATGGGGACCCTGGAGAGAGGCCCACGGGCATCAGGGATGAGGGAGCTGGAGGAGACCGACCAGCCCCTTGGGCACTGCCCATTACCTGGGCCCCTTCTCTGTCCCTCCATTCACCAGTGGGATCCATTTGGTTCGGATCTGAAAGGCAAGGCCCGGCATGAGGTGAGGGAGCCGCCCAGCCCACACCTCTCAGATGGAACTTAAACCTAACCTGAGAGAGATGGGGGGAAGTTGAGGGCCAAAGTCTCCACTGGGAACACGTGGAGAATGCACCTTACAGGTGTGACCTTATCTGATCCTAGCAGTTTCCCAACACTCCCAAGGGAACTGGGGTCAGCAGCCAGGGATAGCCCCTCTGCAAGCCTAAGTGCTTTAGACTCATGGCTGTTCATGCTTTCTGCAGGGAGACGGGGTCACAGGGAGCTCCCTGGGGAAGTTGTGGGGGCTTGTGGCCAAGAAGCTCCCTGAAGCACCCGTTAGAGATGGGGTTGGCCCCGGGTGAGAGTCACCCCAGCGCCTGCATCAGCCGGGCATCCCCTGGGGTCCGAGCGGAGAACAGAACAATGACCAAGCTGGGTGCCAGCAGCAGGGACGCAGGACGAACATTCGCTCCCTCGCTCACCTTCTCAATGGTGGCCTCCTCGGACACGTCGTACACCACACACACCACATTGGCCTGCGGGGGAGGGCACGTGGCACAGCATTACCAGAGGCTTCCTGTCCATGCCACCCCGGCACTCAGGCAGGACACGGCGTGGCTCAGAGACCCAGGAAGCCACCCTTCACTGGCGCTCCTCAGCCAGTGCCCCTTGGTGGCGTCACTGGGGTGGTCGTCTGCTGTGCAAATCGCACAGCCCTTCCCTGCGCACTTCCAGGTCCCAGCACTGCGACTCTGGTCAGCGAGGCCCCTGAAGGGCTCAGAGCAGACACAGCCACCCCAGAAACTTGGTACCCAGATCTGGCCTCAGTCCGTCACTCCGTGTCACTCTGGGCAGAAAAGATGCCGAGAACAGCACCCCTAGGACACAGTAGCAGCTGCAGAGGGACAGGGCAAGGCTGCAGCAGGCGGCTTCGCTTGGCCCAGACACATGTCCTCCCTAACGGGTGAACAGAGGGCTCTGCAGCCTGCGGCCCTGGTCACGGTGCCACGGCTCAAAGGCCCAGAGTAGTGGGTTGCGCTACAGGGTGGGGGGCGGGTGGCCAGGGCACAGAGCTGTTGAAGGGGTCATTTTGAAAGATAATGAGATCCGTCCCCCAGTGTCCACTGGAAGAGTGCATGCTGGGTGGAGAGATCCATGGGGCTGGCCAGCCATGTGGGTAGGAGGAGGAAGGGATGGTCCCTTTTCTCCCCAACTCCCAGCAGGGTGCATCACAGTAACCCCAACAACTTAGTACTGGACTGAGAGGTCATGGAAGAATCAGCTCTGAGCACCTTAATCCAATCCCTCAGAGAGAGAAGCCGATCAGAACTAGGCAGCAGCCCACACCACCCCGCCACCACCCCCAGCCTGAGCACTGAACCCATCCTCTCCCCGCGCCCCCGGCCCCCAGGAGTGGGCGGCCCTCCCTGAGCCTCAGAACACACTGCACCTTGTTAATCTCGTCCTGCAGCTCCTCCACCATCTGCTCAGCTTCTGGAGGAAAGAAAAAAAGGCACTGCAAACCTGCCCGGAATGGGGCTCCTGGGCAGGAAGAGGGGGGGGGGGGGCGGCTCTCACTGAGGAGACAAAAAAAGGGTAGGGCACCTTTTCTGAGGGTTTCACCCCCGGGGATGGTATCTCTTTCCCCCGGGGGAGGAACTAAAATAAAAAGGGCGGGGAAGGAGCCCCGGGGGAAAGAAAGGGACCCCTTTGGAATCATTATCATTTTTTGTGAGAACGGAAAAGGCCTGAACTTTTTGGGGAAAATCATTCCGTCCGACGAGAAAAATATAAAGGAAGTTTCCATACCTCGGTGAAGTGCGAAAGAGCGAGCAACCAAGTGGGGACAT